CTTTACAAACTATGCCTAGCACTTAAGTAAGAATGATACACACAAACTGTACTTGGAACATTGTAGATGTTTCTTGATAGTAACTTTCCCTATTAAGTTTGTTATTTATTTCTTGTGTCAAACAGTTTTGAAACTGAGTAAAAACACTTTTTATTGAAATTTTTTAAAAATTAGCCATCATTTTTATTCAAAATGTGTGAAATTGGACCAGGGTGCCATTTACTTTAAGATTCTTTCAGTGACCTCCAAATGTTGTTGTTTATATTGTTTAGTATATTGTGTGTGAACAAGTTAAAATTATTACACAAATCTTCTTCACCAAATACCCAACTCTAATTTAAATACCAGTATATTTTTGTTCTAATCTGTCAAGAAACAGGCTTTAAGATGAAATAATTATTTTTGAAAAAAAAAAAAAAATTTTGCCAAAAATTAGGATTTGCATCTTGCCATTGTATGTTTCACACAATTTCCTTTGTGCTGAAGTGCTTCAGTATGTGGTAGATGATTGAAATGTTTGTTTTTCTATTTCAAATGATGTTTTTGTAGATTCATAAATCAAATAATTATTATAAAACTTTGAAAAAAAACTGGGCTAAATATTTGTTTAGTTTTGAAAATTATTGACTTCATATGTCCTGAAAACCTGCAGAAAAGTTACTTTTATTTTTACAGAATTCAGGCCTTTGAATTTTGAACTTACACAGTCTTTGTTGCTTAAACTGTACAACAATGCACATGTTCAGTTGCCATCATCTTTGGACTTGCTTCAAGGCCAAAGCATTGACTAAAAAGATGTACGTGCAGTGGAAGGTTAATGCCACCCATTGTATTGAACTTGGGACTTTGTATCATCCTCAAATATTTCAAATCAGTTCAATTATATCTTATAATATTTCTCCACACCAAATTTTCCGTTAATTTGCAAATTGTTTTGATATTTACTGGAAAAAGGTTTCCTTAACTGCAGGTCAAAATTATTGAACCTATTTTTGAAAAGAAGTGAAGAGTGTTTAATTGGTGACAGGTAATAAAAAGTTATATTTTTTTATTTCCAGGTAGATGCCAAGACATGCAATATTCATATTGATTTCTATCTAACAAACAAAAAAATTCTGCTACAAATCTCTTATGTTGACATATATTATTGAGTTTCTCAACTGGTAAATATGATAATCTAGTTGAACAGTGATAAGAAGTGTCTTGATTACTTGTTATTGTCATTGAATGATATTAACTGATGACTTACCAAAGTTTGATCTACAAAACTGTTCTTGGGGATGACTTGGCATACAGGAACAACCATAAGTATCTTGTATGGTCATCGTCAACAGTACAACTAGACCCACAATCAACGTCATACTAGACATCATGTTAGTCTGCTAGACTCTTTATCCCACTGGTCTGTGTTGTAGGATGTATTTATGTGTTTATCTGGCCTGTTCTGGTTAGTATCCACCCACCACATTAGATTGCAACTAACACTGATACGAAATGGTGTTTTGTTTTTATTAGCCGCCCAAGTTGCCTTTCCTTCTATGTCACTTCCTACATACCTTATTCCCAGAATCGCACACATTTGCATATTCTCTAAACCTGCCTCCTGCAGGAAACTCCTGTCTTCACTGGGGAGTGGTGATAACATATAGAATAGCAGCATCCCTTGGGACCAATCGCATTATTCAGCATGTATTAGTGACGTCTAACTGTCTTTGTGGTTAAGGATCATGTTTCTTAGTACTCAAAATAGGTCTTATTTTGGTTCAATATGACATACATATGGACTTAGTTTATCTAATCTATTGGTTGCAGTTCTTGGTATAGACCATGTTTGTGGTGTGCAGTGAGGTTGTTTTCAAAACAAATATGCCTACATTTAGATATACATTTTCATTACTTTTCTTTTCACACATTGAATCTACTTCAACCAGATTGGCAGAAAGATGCCATTATATATATTTGTAACCATGAAGTTAATAATTTTTTTAAAATTTTTCATAAATATAAATGCAATGATATTTCAATAAATGATTGTGAGTCCATTTATTTATTGGATGCTTTGAACACCCTTCAAATAAGTTTTTTAGTTAAATAATGAAAAGCATTTTATTTTTTCATTTTGACTGTACAGCAACACATTGTATGAATTGTATTTTCCTGATCATTATTAAAGATATTGTAATATATATAAGTTTAAATTTTGATAAAACAGAAGGCAAAAGACATTTGTAGGTAATATTCATAAACATGCCGTGTTTGTTTTCAACCCTACCCTTCCTATCAAAGTGAACTTTGACCTCCGTACTTCTGACCCCCATGACTCGGATATTGTTATTTCCGGCATGTCAATAAGTAAATGCAAACTTCTTGTGAAAGAAGATCACGAGAATCTGGGGGTGAAGTATTTGACTTATGTCACAGAGATTTATACTTTCTTTATTTTTATTTTAACTACTGTATTGTGCATAATCCTGGATTTTTGTTCGCTACTGAATTGTTAATTAGGTACTAATTTAATTGATCAGACACACCTTGTCAGGCAGTGCAGGTTCAGCTGATGGTAATAACAATTTTTTTTTGAAATCATATTTCTCAATTCAAATCTAGATAAAAATGCAATAAAGTTTGAGCAACAACAATAAAATGAAAATAAAAAATAAAGAAGAGAAAGAAAGAATTTGCATGTACACATAGTATTTGATCAACTACATGTCTTACAATAATCTCTGCTCTAATAAATGACGAAACGTGTTCACTGAATGCTCCAAAAGTTTATTGAACCCATTGTCATTAATGTTTTTCAATTTAGTCTTGAGACAAATACTTACTTTGTTATTCCAGAGCCGGCAATAACCAGACTTAAATGGTCATAGCTGTAGGCATGTGTATATCAGTAACGACTATGGCATGTTGACGTCTACATTAAAGCACATGGTACAAGGGTGTGCTTAGCCCCATGGGTGCTGTGGTCACAGGAAATGCAGCTAATTAATCTGTGATCCTAATACACAAGTACCATCTACTTGAATGGCACAATTAACAATTAACTGAATTCCTACACAGTTTCCGAGTATTTTGTCTTGGGTATATATTAACTAGAGTTTGAGTTTGTACTTAATTTAGATATATAATAACTTTATAATAACTTTATTACACTACTAAAAAACCTTCAGAGGGTTTTTGTATGGTAAGGAACATAAATACATACAATACATAAGAGATAAAAATAAAATGTTAGTAAAATAAAAGAAAAAAAAATTAATTAATACTTTCTGTGGTTTTAAAAATTGTGCTCTTTAAGTATTTTGCTAAAGCTATATTATTCTCCATAATCTTTTTAAATATGGAATTCACATCCATTGTGTAAATATTTATTGAACACTCATCAAACAGTTTTATATAATGCAATTGACATTAATTTTCCAAACTTTGTTCTTTTATTTCCGAAAACAGTTGATATTTTAGTTGAAAGTAGAGACGATACTCTTTTATAGTTGTTAATGTGTCTAATAAAAAAAAATATTAATGGGGCAATACTTAATGGTCATTTGTTTCACAAGAATTTAACTTTTATTTACATGACTTGAAGGCTTCTGTTGCTGTTATTGTAGTTTTAAGATTAAAACTAATAAAAGATACTTCATTTCAAGGAAACAAAACATTACAAGAAATAAAAAAATTCATTTGTCATAGTTTATGAAAAAACACTATATGTAGGTGATATATTGGGTTTCAGAGTCAAAAGTGTACTTTTTATACAGAAAATGGTTCTCTTTTTTTCTTGGGAAAATGTAACAGGAAATACCTACTTAGTGGTTTCAAGTATTGTTTACTTCCTTCATTTCCAATTTTGCAGTCAACTAAGATGAGATTTTCACTTGAAACTTAAACTTAAACTGGTGTGATAATGGGTTCAATTTGCATCTCAATTTGTACTTCCTTGCGCTTAAAAGGCTGCGTGTAAGTTACTGCAGACTTTTAAAATGAGTTAGGAGTCATCCTGAATTTTCAGAAATAAGAAAAAGTTTTTACCATTGAAAGTCGCGTTCATTGTCACTATAACAATTCCTTTTTCCCGTTTATTATTAAAAGCACTTCACTTGAGATGGAATATGTGTTTTTTAAGTGCCTACTATTAAATGAATGCAAAAGAATTATATGATAGAATTCTTTTTCTAAGTAAAATATGGAGAAGGCCAGTCATGCTACCAACCCATGTTTTAGCATGAATGACAAAAATAAACAGTACCGCAATTCTGTAAATTTAGATTTTTCATTATTAAACCCTATAAACCCCGTTCATTGACCCTTGAACACTGACTCCTAATGCCATACATCAACCATATGTCATGCATGTACAATGTACATTTTGATCTGAAACACTGTACGCCCAACCACCAACCCAAACCCAGCTCAACCCCAGGTTTGATAACGTGTAAACAAGATTTGGGGAGCAAGATGCGGTGGGCAAAATGTTGCAAGTCAGTGGAATTTTGCTCATCAAATCAGAAAAGAAATTTTGTCGTAAATTGAGCAAAATTTCAATTTGAACCACATTAAGGGTTTGAAATCACATTTACTGTAAAGGGGTTAATTATTCACTGGGTTTTAATTTAGCTTATTTCGCTGACTGGAAAATGCGCTAAATTAAAACCCAGTGAATATGTAAAATTTAGCATAGAACACATTATCTAAATGACGAAACCGTGAATTTAAAACCCACTGAATATGGCTGAAATAGTAAATCAGTGAAATTTAAACCCAGTGAAAATTAGTCATTTTACGGTATCCAAAACCTCAATGATTATTAAAAATAAATATTAAACAGCAGCTGACTGGTTGGTTAGCATAATGTTGCTCACTGAATTTTACTTGCCATTTACCTGTCAGCTGTACATAATTCAAGATGTCAGAATGATTTTGTGATCATGCACTTCATGACTTTCTCAAAAACAACTACGTTCTGCAGTTACTTGCAGTGTAAGAAAACAATAAATCTGTTGCTTGACATGTTAGCTGATAGTGCATGTTGTGAAACATTAGTTTTTCACTCATTCCATTCTCGCTTTATATATATGCTATTATTATACATTTTTCACCGTAAGCCATAAGTTACAGCGTGTTGTAATTTTGCGGTATTTTACAGGGTATTTTTATCCTACCATATTAGGAAATGCGAATTCTAAATATGGAATGATTAAACACGCATCCTCTAATTATAAAAACAAACATGGCTGCCACCACGGTTTGACCAGACTTTTTACAAAGAAGTTCACTGATTCTGTTCTAAACTGTTTAGATTTCGGTATTCCCATGATGTATCCTTCGTAGGCAAAGATGTATAATAATAAGGTTATTACGAAGATACCTCAAAATATGTGCATCGATTGATACTGTCGCTGTACTGTCTTCATGCATACTTTGAGGTATCCTCGTAATAACCTTATTAATATCATGAAATGTGACCATGTGATATATTTTCATATCACCAAAAGATTGAATTGTGATAAAAATAAAGGACATTGGTCACGTAATTTTCAATTCTGCTAACATTGATATGCAAATGATGGTTCATGTAGTATTCAATGATATATGCATATAACAAAACCTACAAAATAGATATTTCAGATAAGTAGAATTCATGACTTTATAATTGTGTACAGAGATTGTGTACCATATAACACCTAATTTGCTTTTTTTTCTGCTTGTGTACATTTTTTTTTTCTTTTTGTTTATTGCTGTCTTTAGAGTTTGAAAACAGGGCAGTACAGAACACAAATAATGCAGGTTAGACACTCTAAATATGTATCTCTATCACTTCAACTAAACAAGTATTTCTGGTTTTGTTGTTGTTTTTTGCGTAGACTCCATAGTTTATTTTAACAATTCACAATCCTTTCATCTAATCCTATCAGACCCCCTAAGACAGAGCATGATGTCACCTTTATCACAGTATATTGAGAAGCCAAACTTAAATTTTAAAAATAATTACCTTAATTTAGAAAGTAATTAACATTAACAAACAAATACTGCCTCCTTCTTCATCCCTGTTCAAAGTTTTCATAGATCATTCTCGTTGCTGGTAGTAATCAGAAAAATTTGCAAATACTGTAAATAAGTGATTATTATTATTACTTAGCATGTAAGTATAGCAAAGTATATATTTTCGGAAAATTTGGATATAAACAGGTAAACAGGTAGCTTTTTACATGTTTGTACAACTATTTGTACATGATTGGTCTGTGTTTTTACCTATGACAAAGTACTGGTATAAAACTACTGAAATATTGAATATTGGCGAACCAAGACAGATAGGTTTTGTATATTAGCATTCTTTTCTCTACAGATAATGGGAATCCCTTGTGAAACAAAAGGCTTGCTTTATCAAAGAATAAGCATATTAATATAATTCTTTATAGAGAAATTATGAAACAAACACAGTTGTGTTCTACCTACTGTGTATATAAAAATAATGGGACTTGTATATCGTTACAAAATGTTCAACTCTGCAGCTAATCATACTGCATGTTGTGTTTATAACTGCCCAGAAAACTTCCCAGTAAGGCCTACAAAAAGTATGTTTCTGGTCAGCATGTGCACCACCAATTTTCACTGCTGAACAGTGCCATTTCTTGACAAATTAATGAAACCTGCAAATTTTTTGTCCTGTGAAATATTTTAGCGAAAAAAAAAAATGATGCCAATTTTTGAAAAAAAATGTGACCAGAAATATCTTTCTTAGGAGGACCCAAGTTTGTTAAATTGAATTTTCTTTGAATATACTCAACACGTTCCTATATAGTAAGTAATGATTTCCACCCCAGTAGAGGCCGCAGTGTCAATTATAAGTTGCCCTGTTTGTTAATACTCTGTAATGTACTATGTAGTGCACTATGTATTGTTGATGTGCGTTTATGTTTATATGTGCACATTTCATGCTGTAGCATGTCATGCAACAGGTTATGTTTGTTAACATAATTGCTTAACTTTGTTAACCCACCAAGGTCTTATAGTAGCATGGATTGTTATTGTTGATATGTTACTAATTTATAAAGCTTTTTTACAGTGAAGAATTTTAGTGCTAGATGCGAATAAAATGAATCATTGAATAGGATTTACCAGTTTAGTAAATTTAAAAATAAAATAGCACAGTATTATATCATCTATACTATGTAGTACATCTATCATGGTATTCTCTCAGCTATACTATATGTAGTATATCTATCACGGCATTCTCTCAGCTATACTATATGTAGTACATCCATCACAGTATTCTCTCAGCTATACTATATGTAGTACATCTATCATGGTATTTTCTCAGCTATACTATATGTAGTATATCTATCACGGTATTGTCTCAGCTATACTATATGTAGTACATCTATCACAGTATTCTCTCAGCTGTACTATATGTAGTACATCTATCATGGTATTCTCTCAGCTATACTATATGTAGTATATCTATCACTGTATTCTCTCAGCTATACTATATGTAGTATATCTATCACGGTATTGTCTCAGCTATACTATATGTAGTATATCTATCACGGTATTTTCTCAGCTATACTATATGTAGTACATCCATCACAGTATTCTCTCAGCTATACTATATGTAGTACATCTATCACGGTATTCTCTCAGCTATACTATATGTAGTATATCCATCACAGTATTCTCTCAGCTATACTATATGTAGTACATCTATCATGGTATTTTCTCAGCTATACTATATGTAGTATATCTATCACGGTATTGTCTCAGCTATACTATATGTAGTACATCTATCACAGTATTCTCTCAGCTGTACTATATGTAGTACATCTATCATGGTATTCTCTCAGCTATACTATATGTAGTATATCACAGTATTCTCTCAGCTATACTATATGTAGTACATCTATCATGGTATTCTCTCAGCTATACTATATGTAGTACATCTATCATGGTATTCTCTCAGCTATACTATATGTAGTATATCACAGTATTCTCTCAGCTATACTAAATGTAGTACATCTATCATGGTATTCTCTCAGCTATACTATATGTAGTACATCCATCACAGTATTCTCTCAGCTATACTATATGTAGTACATCTATCATGGTATTTTCTCAGCTATACTATATGTAGTATATCTATCACAGTATTCTCTCAGCTATACTATATGTAGTATATCTATCACGGTATTGTCTCAGCTATACTACATGTATATGTAGTACATCTATCACAGTATTTCCTCAGCTGTATTATATGTAGTACATCTATCATGGTATTCTCTCAGCTATACTATATGTAGTATATCTATCACAGTATTCTCTCAGCTATACTATATGTAGTATATCACAGTATTCTCTCAGCTATACTATATGTAGTACATCTATCATGGTATTCTCTCAGCTATACTATATGTAGTACATCTATCATGGTATTGTCTCAGCTATACTATATGTAGAATATCACAGTATTCTCTCAGCTATACTATATGTAGTATATCACAGTATTCTCTCAGCTATACTATATGTAGTACATCTATCATGGTATTGTCTCAGCTATACTATATGTAGTATATCTATCACTGTATTCTCTCAGCTATACTATATGTAGTATATCTATCATGGTATTGTCTCAGTTATACTATATGTAGTACATTTATCATGCTATTCTCTCAGCTATACTATATGTAGTATATCTATCACGGCATTCTCTCAGCTATACTATACGTAGTATATCTATCACAGTATTCTCTCAGCTATACTATATGTAGTATATCTATCACAGTATTCTCTCAGCTATACTATATGTAGTATATCTATCACAGTATTCTCTCAGCTATACTATATGTTGTACATCTATCACGGTATTCTCTCAGCTATAATATAAGTAGTATATCTATCACAGTATTCTCTCAGCTATACTTTATGTAGTACATCCATCATGGTATTATCTCAGCTATACTATGATTTAGTATGCATATGTCAACACACTTTATTCTTGAAAACAAACACCATACTACTAATGTCAGGGGATATTCTACATAGCAATGATTCTTTATAATATATCAGTTCAACTGTGGTCAAACAAAGTTCAATGATGAAAGAGATGTACGTAACTAGCCATGCCAATCATATTGTAAATAAAATACAAGTTTATTACAGAATATTGCATACTAACCCCTTTGGTTAATGAAATTTTAATTTCATAAACAAATGGGATAATTGCCAATTATCATATAATACTGGTTAAATAAAATCGAAATAACAGTGGATAGCTCCCGTAGGGGGCGTCCTTCCCCTGTCATCTGATTTGCATACTTCCATTTTTAACCACGAGATTGATTCACGGTTGAAATTTGGGCTTGCCAAAATATCATTGTTTTTGCGGTGGAAATACATTGTTACCACCCATCAACACAGCCACCGAACTATTAGTGTGTCAGGAA